AAAAGAAAATTCTATATATATAACATTAAAATTTTCATGTAATTAGTATACGTATAATTTTTGATATTTGCAAATAATTGCTCGTGTTTTTTAATTCAACAGCAATATATATTAATTGCTTAACATAACTCATAACAAATAAATAAATAATTTATAATTAAATATTAATCAACATTCAATAAGGATTTAAATTTTTAATAAAAATAAGGATTTTTATTAAAGTAAATAAATGACTATTCAAAATAAAGAATGTTGAATGAAGTAGATTATGTAATTAAGGATAAAACATTCAAAGCATTTAAAAATATATATAAATACATCAAAATCGTAGAGGCAACTCTACATGTTCTTTATTAATTTGTTTGTTCAGTACACTAATAAAGTCACCGAATACCCATTTAATAAAACACAAAGTTACTGAATAGACAATTAATAAATCAAATGCTCTAGCAAATTCATTGTACAGATAATTAATAAATAAAAAATTACGCTAAAAAGAAATATAGATATATTTTGTTATTCATTTTTGTTGTATGTGTATTTACAATTATAAAAAAAAAAAAAAAAAAAAAAAAAAAAACATTATGATAGCATTTTTTTCTTTTTCTTTAATTGAATAATACGCAATGTTTTTATTTTACGAAATATTAAAAATATAATGTTAAAATTTATTCATATAGAGTATTAGGTTAATGAAATTAAATAGTAATATACTAACGTAATTAATGTTTAATATTAATTGATAAAAGTGTATACTTTGTTTAATATTTTATTTTATTTAAAATAAGTCGAGTTCTCTCATGTTCACTACTAAGTTGCTTTCTTAGTCTAATGAAAACATTGAAGGAAAAATTAATAATAAATACTCCATATTCATTAATATATTAAGCAAAATAAAAAAAAAAAAAGAGATAAAATACATGCTTATAAAATAATAATTCAATTTATTCTTTAGATAATTAATGTATATTCTGTCTTTTAATATATTTAATGGAATTATTCTATAATTCATAATAAAATTATTTACTTCTTTTCTTATGAATTGCATTCTTATTATTATAATTTTCCTTTTAGGTTATATCATATTGGTAGATCCTAAGAATTATAAAAATTTAAGCACATGTAGAAGTTATTTAATCAAAATAATGTATCAATTTTTTTATCATAATTTGGAATATTTTCTTTATTTTTTATATTATTGGTTTTTTGATTTTTTTTCTATCATAACATATGTTAATATTAATATAAAAAAAAATACAAAAGAAAAAAGCATTAATAAAATTTATTTTGTATCTTTAACTAAAAAATAAAAATAAAAACATGCATCACTTTCTGCATGACAAGATGAAATTTTATTTTTATTTTTTCCATTTAATATAATTTTATTTAGTTATTTAATAAAATTCATTTCTTTTTATGTTTGATGTTACCAAACATGAGAAAACAAAAAATTTCTATATATATTACTTTTTCAAAATTTTTATTTATACTATTGTATATATATATATCTTGAATTATTTATATAAAACAAAAATATAAAAATGCTGTATTTATATAAAAATTAAAAACTTAATATAATTATTTACATAATTTTAAATTTATGTTATAATTATGTATCTTTTTTTTTCTAATTAAACATACTTATTTCATATACAATTATATAAAGATCCAATATTAGACTAAAAATCAGTCGTTTACATATTTCACTAAAATATAAACTTATATAATAAAAACGAAACAAATTTCACTGCTCATACAGATAAAATAAGTATCACATCATTACTTATACATTTAAAATTGTTTTTTCTTAATAAAAAATCTATAATTTTAAAAAAATAATGTATTTTATGTTTGCATATTTTTCAATTCACTTTTTTTTGGATCAGTAAGTTCATATTACTATTTTATTATTATTTCTTTATTATATAAATATGTTAAAATTTATTTTTTAAAAATAAAAAATGACATATGAATTTACTTGTTGAAAAATTTATACATATAACAAAATATTTACAGTTCAATGTTATAAATATGAAACACTTCTTCCATGTATATAATCCTAAAATTCTTGCAAATAATGTAAAATATAGACTATTTGCAACTCAAGAAATCACAACTTTAACAATTTATTTATGCAAAATATTAAGATTTTCTATATTAAATAGTACTTGACTTATTTAACTTTTGTATATGTATATATTATTTAAATAAAAAATAATCTGTAACATTACATTATTATTTTGGCTTTAAAATATATAAATATTTGCAGTGTACTGTATTTCCTGTCAAATTATTTATGTTTTTTTCAATAATCAGACTAAGCAGCTTTTCTAAAAGAATCATATAAAATTTATTTTATATTTTAAAATAAAATTGTTATATATTTAAATAAAAAAAATATATTTAGTATATTAAAAAAACATAGATGTATTCAAATATTCAAAAAATTCTAAATATAAATTATTTGCTGATTAAAGCTAATAACAACATTAATGTTAATCATGTAATATATTTAATTAAATACATATACTTTTTAGTAAATAAAAATCATAAATAATTCACATGATATATAACGTATAAATCTTGGATATATGTATGTTCTAGTTACTATTAATAGTGCTATTATTATCATTAATTCGATAAATTTTATAAAATAGATTCAGATGTAATAATTTATTGCCTCACATAAACATATTTTTTTTATTATTTTTACGTTGTTTCTTATTTATATACAAAATGTAAGTGCATGCAAATAATTTAAGTTACATTTTTGTTTTTCAAACTCATTAATATTCAGTTGCATCTTTATAACGATATCAAAATAAAATTTACTAATTAATCCGTTGCTAAAAAAAGCATGATATTATTAATTAAATAAATTTAATTATAACTACTGTAATAAATTAAAATGTATAATCATTTTTATTTTAATATGTTATTACTTGTAAAAAAATTATTGATTTTATGGGATTAAAAATTCCATTTATCATATTTATATAGTTAAAAATTTATTATTACATCACAGTGTTATTCATTTTTGTTGAAGCATAATTATTAGTTTTATTACTATAATTTATATTATACTAAGTTATATTTTTAATTATTATTTCTTTTATAATTGTATAATATAATTTCTCCAAATGCAAAATTTTTCTTTTCATTTTTTTTATCTTTTTTATCTTTTTTTCTTTATATTCAATTTTTCTTTTCTATTATTTTTTCTTTCACCTTTTTTTTTATAGAGTTTTTTTTTTTATTATATTCTTTTTCCTATTTTTTCCGAGTCAATTATTTTTTTATAACAATTAAATTTATTAAGATTTACTTATAAAAAATATTTGTGCATGCAAAAAAGTTAATTTTTGTTATAAATTTTTTTTCTTTTGCTCATATATTTTTTATTTGAAATAATACCTTTAAACTGTTACTAATAAAATTCATCAATATAAAAATAAAATTTTCTATTATTTAATAGGTAAAATAATTATCATAAATCACTAATGTTTTATTATTTTTGTTTGTGTAAAATTTTTTTTTTTTATTCTAAAATTATATGCCTAGCATAATAAATATAATTCATTTGTCAAAGTACACAATTATTTCTGTATTAAAAATATATAACATTATAAAAATACTAATATTGACCTCTTTATTAATACAAAAAAAATTAAAAAAAAAATAAATTATTACTTAAGTAGTATATTTTTCATATATGGAATTATTAATTCTGCTAAACTTATTTTAAGCATTTTCATAAAAATAAATTGACTTCCCCACTAATTATTTACTTAGATTTAATTAATTAAAATTTTACTTATGTTATAAAAAAAAATAGAGAAGAGATTAATAACTCAGATAATTGATATTTGAAAGCAATTTTCATCGTATTTTTTATTTTCGTATAGTTAGAAAAATTAATATTATCTAGAAGAAAATATAATTTCATTGTTTATATTTATGATCAACTGTGAATGAATTCTTTTTAAAAATTTTGTTATATTCTTGAGAATGTATCAATTTAATATGGAAAAAAAACTAATGTATTGTAAAATTTGTATAATAATTTTGTTATATTAAAAATATGTACAAGAACATTTGGAATGAGACAGTTACTTACTACAATAAATACAACAATTGCAAGTTATACTTCAGCTAATTTTAATGTTTCAGAATCAAATAATAATAATAATAATAATAGTAATAGTGTTGATAGTATTTATTTGGTTATTCTTGCATTAATTCTTTCCATAAAATTATTTTTTATGTTTTACACTATCATTTATACTTACAGACGGAGAGTAATATGAAATAATATGAAAAGATGTTATTTACTTATCATATTTATGTAATTATTTCATTAATAAAAATTTACATTATTTTATATTAATTTTATTTGTATAATATATCCAGGGAAGAGCAATATATGATGACCTAATGCTAGAAGTTGAATCAGTAGATTCAGGATATGCAGACATTGAATATGAAGATATAGATGAAGAAATAGATGAAAGAGCAAGAATACTAGATGTAGATGACCGTGCAGAAAGAACAGTAAATGAAAGAGTAACATTAAATGTATATGGGCAAATAAATAGTGAAGAAGATGAAGTAGAAGTAAGAATTTATTAGTTGATTTCATTAAAGTTTTAGAAAATAACAGTAAATTATAAGTGATAAGTTAGCTATGTATTATACCTTTTTAGGAATAAGTCTAACATTCCGATAAACAAAAATATATATTTAGATAAGAAGAAGCATTAACGAAAAATATGTAATTTTTTTTTGTAATTTTTGTTTTTAATAATATTCTATTTTAGTTTTAAAAAAAATAGTAAATAGATATATTTCCTCTTCTACTTGTTTAAAAGTATGAAAAAAAAAAAAAAATTTTTTTTTGTTGATCTTCTAATGAGTACAAATCTTTGAAAAAAATTTGTTAACCTATAATGAAAAATTATTAGTCTAAAAAAGAATGCTATTTTGCATATAAATTGTTTTTGTAATAAAGATTTCCATTTTAATGAAAATATGGTTAATAAAAGGCTTCATTAATCTTTTTGGAAAATAAAAGGACTAGTTAAATGAAGTATACGAAGTTGGTCATGCATATACACACAAAAATAAAAAATTTAATGATTTCTTTTTTGTTTGTACTTTTTAAAAGGAAAGTACAAAAAAATAGTCAGGAAGAAATTGATTAAAAAAAAAAATCAATTTTTTTTAAAATATAAAAAAATAAAAGAAAATAAAAAAAAAAAAAAAAAAAAAAAGAAATTTTTTTTTAGTGATGAATTAAAGAAAATATTTTTTATGATGAATTTTGTAAAAGAAAATTTTATACATATAACAATAAACTTTTTATATAATTATTATTTATATATTTTATTCTGTTTTTGTTAATAATTATTTATGTTTGTTAATACAACACCAATGTAAAATAATTACTGAATATAACTCATAACAAATAAACTAGTAATTATAATTAATTAATAATTAATAATTAATGTTAAATAAGTATTTAAATTTTTAATAAAATAAGGATTTTTTATTAAAGTAAATAAATGCTTATTGAAATAAAAGAATGCTGAACGACGTAGATTATAATTAATGATCACTCGTTCAAAGCAAATAAAAATATACATGAATATACAAAAATCGTAGATGCATTTCTACATGCTCTTTATTAATTGGTTTGTTCACTACTATAGGAAAGTCCCCGAACACCCAGTTAATAAATCAAAATAAGAAGAAATTCTTATTAAATAAAATAAATACCCTTTGTAAAATAAGTATTACGTTTAGAATAGTAAAAACAATTAACTAACATATTTTTATATAAAGAATTAGAAGTATTCTATATATAAACTATTTAGTTTATGCTCTATAATGTAAAGTATAATGTTTAATTATTTATAAAAAAAATTTTCCTTACAAAAACTAAAAATAGTAGAGTATATTCTACGTTTTCCTTATTTGTTCATTAATCTAGCAAAGTCTTTAAACATTCCATTTATAAATCAATTATGATGAATAATGAGAATTACATACTTGCATATCGAAAGTAAAATCGGAAAAAAAGAGAAAATAAAGATAAATGATAAATTGGATATAAACAATTTTACTGATAAAACTTATATAATAACTCAAAATAAAAAGGAATTAAGAAGACAACTATAATATGTTCCATTTTTCATGAGAAGTAAATGTATAAAAAAAAAGAGTGAACATAGATTTTCTATTAGTGCATAAAGGAAAATGAAAAGCTATTATTCTAAATCTTTGAATGAAGTGTTATTAGAGTTACTTGGGAATATTGATAAAAAATCCCATTTGAGCTATATGAGATAATACTGTTATGCAAATTTTATTCATTATATTAGTTAAATAAAGATGGTAGTGAAAGTAACTATCAATTGCCTCTTTGTTAATAAGTATATGATTTTTCAATAAAGAGTTTTATCTATCTCTTTGAACCATCAATAGGATTAAATGAAATATAACTCCAAGTTTACTTATGCATGCAAAATATTTAAGAAAATGCATACACTGAAGTTTACAAAAAGATGATTTATGCCTTTGTTTTATTAACTGGGTGTTCAGAGACTTTGCTAGAGTACTGAACAAACCAATTAATAAAGAGCATTTAGAGATGACTCTACGATTTTCTTATACTTATGTATATTTTTATATGCTTTGAACGAATGATCTTTAATCTTCATAGTAGTAAATTCGCAAGACAATGTGGAGTAAATAAAACACTAAAGAAAATACAAAAACATTTTTGTTGGTCCAATATTAGTAAAGATATTAAAGAATATGTTACAAATTGTTTACTTTATCAAGTAATGCGTAATCGGAAATTTAAATCTAATGATAAGCAAGTTTTTATCAAAAATGAATGTATTTGATATGGTTTCATTAGATATTATAGGTCTTGAAACATGGAAAGGTACAGAATACTATATACAAGTAGCAATAAATCATCATTCACGTTTTATGGTGATGAACATAACTAATAAAACACCTAATGCTATGGATGCAATTAACATTATAAAGAAAACATGGATACCCATATTTGGATGCCCTGCAAGCATCTTAACAGATCGCGGTTCAATTTATACTAGTCAAGAATTTCATGACTATTTTACAAAAGAAATACAGGTTAAATTGTATCATACCAGCACATATTATCCACAAGGACACTGTATAAATTAAAGCTCTCATAAAAGCTTGATTATATCATTAAGACTTTATATGAAGAAAAAGATATAACTTTTGAAGAAATAGTACAAAATGCAGTACTAATATATAATAATACACGTCATGGAGATATAGGAGAAACACCCTATTTTGCTATGTTTGGGATAAATTGTATCTGTCCAGGGTTTACATAATTAGTACGAGAAACAACTTCTGAAATGAGGATTATATACTTAAACGATAAATGGAAAAACATACATGAAGATGTAATGAAATCAAAAGAAAACCTATAATTGAGAATAAAAATATTAAAGTTGGAGATATTATCTCATACGAATTATCCGAATACAAAAGGAATCAAATGAAACACTATAGCAGAAATATACAAAATAAACCATATTGTTCATTTCCTCATAGAGTAACTAAAATTGAAAGAATAATTCTGAAAGTATTACCTATATATTATAGAGGTAAAGAAGTACAAATTCCAATGTCAAAAATAAAATTGTTGAGTAACAAATATTGTACCCAAAATTTATTTATAACTACGATTGAAAATCAATCGATGTTATTGCAACAATTATAATTTATGATTATTTGATNAGATCCTTCAATAAAATTCTCAATAGTTTCTTTATTCGAATTCTCTAATTCATCTACTTTTACTTCAGATTTAACTTCCATGATATATTTTCTTCTCTTTTCCACTTTTCATTTTTTTCCATTATGCTCTTTTCCAACTCTTCCTTTTATCATTTTATTTTCCCACTCTTCTTTTCATTTAGCATTTTCTCTTCAAACTTTTCAATTACTTTTAGCATTCTCTCTTCCCCCTCTTCCTTATTTTTTTGTATTTTCTTTTCCAACTCCATTTTTTCTATTAGCATTCTCTTTTTCCATTTTTCGCCTTCTTCTGTAATTCGCTTTTTCCGCCCTTCTAATACTTTTAGCATACTCTCATCAAACACTTGCTTTTCTTTTAGCGTTCTTTCCCACTCTTCCTTATGTCTTAGAACTCCCTTTTCCCAATGTTCCATTTCTTTTTTTTTTTTTAGCAGTTTCTCTTGATCCTTTTCCATTTTTTTTTTTTCTTCTTGCATTTCCTTTTCCAAATCATCTTTCATCTTTTTATTGCAATTGTTCAATATCTTCTGCAACCTAACTCTCATTTCATGTTTAGCTTTAAATTTAGGAAAGTAATTGTTCAATATCTTCTCCAATCTAACTCTCATTTCATGTTTAGCTTTAAATTTAGGAAAGTAATTTCTCTGTAAATTATTACAAATGATTTAAAATTTTGTTTTTATAATACATATAAAGTTTATAATTATGAACTTTATTTTACCGCAAAACGAAGGAAAGAAATAATAATGATAACTAACTGAAAAATACTTAACGACTTTATGATTTTTCAATAAAGAGTTTTATCTATCTCTTTGAACCATCAATAGGATTAAATGAAATATAACTCCAAGTTTACTTATGCATGCAAAATATTTAAGAAAATGCATACACTGAAGTTTACAAAAAGATGATTTATGCCTTTGTTTTATTAACTGGGTGTTCAGAGACTTTGCTAGAGTACTGAACAAACCAATTAATAAAGAGCATTTAGAGATGACTCTACGATTTTCTTATACTTATGTATATTTTTATATGCTTTGAACGAATGATCTTTAATCATATACTACTTCGTTCAGCATTCTTTTGCTTCAATAAGTATTTATTTACTTTAATAAATAAATCCTTATTTTATTAAAAATTTAAACACTTATTTAACATTAACTATTAATTGATTATAATTATTAGTTTATTCATTATGAGTTATATTCAGCAATCATTTTATATTGCTATCGAATTAACAAAACACAAATACTTATTAAAAATGCAAATAAATTATATGCATATTAATTACATGAAAATTTTATCTTCATATGTATAAAATTTTCTCTCACAAATTCAAAATATAAATATTATAAAAATTAAACGCTTTACAAAAATATCATTATCTTTTGTAAAAAAAATCTCTCTCTCTCTCTGATTTTTTTTTCTCTTTTCAAAAAAAAAATAAAAATTAAATCTTTTTTATGTTTTTTTTTTTTTTTATCTTTATCTTTTTCGAAAGAAACATTTCTCAAAAAAAAATTCAAATAATTTTTTTTTTTTTTTTTTTTTTTAGTTAGCACAACTAACTATGTATTCTCCACATAGCTAGTCCTTTTATAGCCAAAAAGGTTAATGAAGCTTTTTATTAACCAGCCTTCTACTTTGAACTTTCATTTTAAAGGGATAATTTTTTTTATCATTGTATAAATTTAATACATATATATATATGGAAAGAAAAAAAAGAAATTTAGTGATTTTTTAATTGAATAACAAAAAATTGGTTATTAAAAAAGAAAAAGTTAATGACATGTAAAAGTTATATTTTTGATGTTAGATAGTAAATATGTATTATATTTAAAAGTTTACAAATTATTATTATTTGTGTTTTAATAATATTATTTAATAGTTTTTATTAAGATATATGAATATTATTTTAAATTGGTAGATCATTAAAAATAAATAAGGTATTAACCTAGTATTAATTCTAAGATTCAAGCTTCTAATAATTTTTTTATCTAATATCGTGTGGCATTATTATATAAAAATCATTTAATTTATATAATAAATTATTTTGTAAAAATAAAATTAGTACATATCACTAGACATTATGTTTATGGTTAATAAAAGGCTTCATTAACCTTTTTGGTAATAAAAAGGACTAGCTGTATGAAGAATACCTAGTTATGCACACGCACAAAAAAAAAAAAAAAAAAAAAAAAATTATTTAATTTTTTTTTTTATATTTTCCTTTTAATAAATGGAGATACGTAAAAAAAAAATATATTTATTTTTTTTTTAATGATTTAATTCATGAGAAAAAGATTGGTTAAATAAAAATCGAGAGTAAGATTTAGTACCAATAAAAATTAGATCTTAAACAGATAATAAGGTTTATGTGAAAGAGTTTAATTTGTATATTATATATATTTTTAATTTGTGTGAGAATATTTTATACATATGACAATCATATTTTAACGTAATTAATATTCATATAATTAATTTGCATTTTTATTAATTGTTTATGTTTGTTAATTCATCAGAAATATATTTAAATTGCTGAACATAACTCATAATAAAGAAATAAGTAAATTGCAATTAAATAATAATCAATATTCATTAAGGTTTTAAATTTTTAATAATATTAAAGATTTTTATTAAAATAAATAGATGCCTATTTAAATCAAAGAATGGTGAACGAAGTAGAGCACATTACTAAGAATCACTCGTTCAAAGAATATAAAAGTATATAAAAATACACCAAAATCGTAGAGGCAACTCTACATTCTCTTTATTAATTTGTTTGTTCAGTACTCTAGCAAAGTTACCGAACACCCAGTTAATAAATCAGTAATACAAGTTTATTCACCGGTCAAAAAAGAAAAATTTTAATTTAATTTTTTTAAGTTTATCCCTTTTAAGAAAATTTTTATTTTTTGTCAATAAATGGTTAATATAATTGAGTTTTGTTTTAATTTTTATATATTTTAATTTATTTAAAAAAAATGAAAACGAATTCGTAAATAGATATTTATAAAAATGTTATTAAAAGATTCTTACTTAAAAATCAATATTTAACGATGATTTAAATTTAAACAAAAATAAAATGATTCTAATATAAAGTAAATAATATCATATAAACATAATAAATATACAATGAAGCAAGCTATATATATAAGGTTTATTATTTTTTATGAATATATAACTTTTATAACTATTAAATTAGAAGTAAAAACTCTATATGCTTTTTATTTATTTGACCATTTAAATATCATATAAATTGTTGATCTGTTAATTAATAAATTAGTAAATTTATTAATAAAAAGAATTATTAACCTTTTTTTAGAATGAAAATAACTAGATATACTGGAAATACATAGTTATCCATGCAAGATATAGATAAATATAAAAAAAGAATTACTTGTTAATTATTTTTATTTTCTTTTTATGAAAGATATATGTAAAAAAATATTTTTTTATATTTTTTAAAAAGATTTAACTATCAAAACAAAAAGTTCAAAAAAGATGAGAAAGAATTTGTTCACCAGAGAGTTTCCTAATTGTGAATTTTTATTTTGAGTTTTTTTTTTTTAAAAAAATTTTATACAGATAATAATAAAATTTTCATGTTTGTAACATTTATATAATTTAATTTATATTTCATTAATTATGTGTGTTAACTTGAAAGCATTAGATTTGAGTGTCTTAACATTCTTCATAACATTATAAGTAAGAATATATTTCATTAAAATGAACATTCAATGAGGATTTAAATTTTTTCATAAAAATATGAATTTTTATTAAAGTAAATAAATTCCATTTGAAAACAAAGAATTTTCAGCGAAGTAGGTTATATTAATTCAGTTTATTTGTTTTGTAACATTTCAAATTATACATGAATTCATTAAATTAGTAAAGATAATTCTACATACTCCTTATTAATACATTTGTTTAGAANTTAAAAATTTTTCAATAACTTTATTTTGCATATACTATTTTATTTTAATATATTATTCTGAATACAATCAATAGCTTTAATGATACTTTAAGCTTTTAATAAAAAAGAAATGTTAAACAAAATAAACTATTTATCTCATCCTTTTTTATTATATAAAGTTTTCTTACTGAATTATTAACTGGATGTTCGGTGACTTTGCTAGAGTACTGAACAAACAAATTAATAAAGAGCATGTAGATTTAACTCTACGGTTTTGATGTATTTATATATATTTTTAAATGCTTTGAACGAGTGATTCTTAATAATGTGATCTACTTTGTTCAACATTCTTTAATTTCAATAGGCATTTACATACTTTAATAAAAATCTTTATTTTTATTAAAAATTAAAATCCTTATTGAATATTTATCATTAATTAAATGTATATTACTTGTTTCTTTGTTATGAGTTATGTTCAATAAATATATACTGCTGTTGAATTAACAAACTAAACAATTAGTGACAATACAAATTAATTATATAAATATTAATTACGTGAAAATTTTATTATTATATATATAAAATTTTCTCTTACAAAATTAATTAAATCATACTATCTTAAAAAAAAAATATATTTTTTTTTTTTTTTTTTTTTTTTTTTTTTTTTTTTTTTTTTTTTTTTTTTTTTTTTTTTTTTATATTAATTACTCCATTTAAAATATTCAATTTAAGATTTTCCTCTTCTATATTCATTATATTATAACTATAATATAATGGTACATTATTTTTATAGGTTTTAATATATTCCTAATGTTTTCATTTAATTTATTATTTTTATGTTTAATAACTTTGGTAAAGCATTGAAAAAACCAATAAAAATAAGTTACATATATCTATCTCTATTATTTTTACCTAATATAAAAGTACCTTGGTTATAAATAAGTTAATAATTAGTCTATAAATATTATTATCTACCTATTTTAAATGATAATTAAATAAATAAAATAAGTAAAAACATTTTTATTTGTACGTTTTAAGTATGCTAGGGAAATGTGAACATCTAAATGCACATGTTAAAAATGCATATAAAAAAATGTATGCGTCCCAAGAAAAAAATAGATTTATTATATTTTATTATTTTGTATTCACTTGCAAATAAAAAAAGGTGTACTTTATTTTTTTTTTTTTTTTTTGGATTTATGATAACTCAAGAAATTTTAATAAAAAAAAAAATAAGGTGATTAAAAGCTTAATGTTAAATATTGTATTTATAGAATATTGTGAAAATGAACCTACATAATAAATAATAGAATATATATTTAATATAAACCAAAATAAGTGATTTATGTAATAAATGATTTTATTTTAAATAAAATAAATAGAATTTTTTATGGATAACCTTTGTTAAATTGATTATTTAAATTACTATAAAAATCTTTAAACATTTAATAAAACAATATATAACTACATTATATTAAATGAAATATATAGTTTATTACATGTGACATATATAACTCTTTAAATAAAAATATACTTACATTTCTTTATTCTCAATGTAATAACATTTTATAAGACCAATTGAAGTAATTTAATAAAAAGACATTTTTATTTTTATTAAAATTTAAATACTCATTAGAGAAATTTTTGATTATATCAAAAATAATCTTTTTATATAAAATAATAAATTTCCATTAAAATAATTAACAAACATTTCAAAGATTAGTATAA